GATGAAATCTTTTACGATCATTGTTTTTTTTGTGAGAATCCTCAAAAATTTATACCTATTGAATAACCTACAAAACACAAACTTGCAAAGATTTTAGATCAAGGTTTCAATAGGAGATTTGTATTGTCTTGTAAAGAAGTGAAAATACTTAATTGTAGAAAGTTCAAAATCGATCCGTGATCGAAACTACTATTGTTTAAAAAAACGTGTTCCATACCCTGTTAAGTTGACAATTTGTAATACATTACAAATGAATTCAAAATAAAAGATTTGATTGATTCGTATATAGATTATTGTTTGTGCTACAATGCAGAATAATGAATATGACAGATTCTTCAAATATTCTTGAACTTGGGAAAGATTTGTTTTTGAGTTCTTCTTATCTACTAAAATTTGAACTTACGTATTTTTTTTATCTAAACTTATCTTATTTAGCACTTCGATTAGCCTTTCTACAAACTACTTGTTTGTTTCAGATTCAGGAATAAATTACTCAATAATAAGTGTGATGCAAAATTCATGGCATTAAATACTTTCGAATGATGTATGATTTATATTTGTCACACATTCGTAAATGGAATAAGAAAGAAAAATACTTACACAAAAAATTTGTAATTTTTTTTATATGAATCAATCAAAAACGTCTTATGCATGGTAGTTAAGTATAATTAACTATCGTTATTATCTAGCAAGATGTTTGTAATGAATTCATATAAAAGTTGCAAATTTATTTTGTCTCATTTCACTCAGAAATGTGTGACGAACATAAATCATACACTGTTTCCTATCAACTGATAACAAAATTGTTTTTCCTTACGTTCAAATTCTATTATAACTCATTTTATTGTAAAAATCCAAACAATAAAAAATGAAATGATTTTTAAATATATTTCAAACTCGAACTAACGAAATCAGTGAATATGTTGAAAAAATTCGATATAAAAGAAAATTTCATTTACAATAAAATTCGAGTTCATCGCAATTTTTCACATTACCAGTTAAATCTCAGTTAGTTTCAAAATATTTGAAAAAATCAACAATGTCTTGTTTTCAACATTGAGAAAATCATATTCTAATCAAATTCATAAGTAAAAAGCTTTTGTAATTGAGAGCAGTTCAATACTGTTTAAAAGAAATGAGAATGACTCATTTCAATTAAATCAATGTTTATTTCTACTTCATACTTTCGTTTCATTTCAGTACCAATGCGTGCAAGTTCCATTGATATCCATCCGAATGCAACATGGTCAACGAATGGAATCACTGTTGCTGGGGGAAATGGACTAGGCAGTGAAACCAATCAACTCGCTAACCCAGGGGGTTTGTACGTCGATGATGATCAAACGATTTATGTCGCTGATTGGTGTAATCACCGTATTGTGGAATGGAAATCTGGTGCAACGAATGGAAAAGTAGTTGCTGGTGGAAATGGAGAAGGAAATGGAGCTGATCAGTTAAAGCACCCACTAGATGTGATTATCGACAACAAAGAGAGCGATAGTCTCATCATCAGCGATGGAGAGAATAACAGAGTAGTTCGATGGCCTCGTCGAAATGGTACTCGTGGAGAAACAATTATTTTCAATATCTCTTGCGGAGGTTTGACAATGGACGACAATGGTTCTCTCTATGTCGTTGACTGTAAACAACATGAAGTGAGACGATATAAAATTGGTGACACTAAAGGAACAGTAGTTGCAGGTGGTAATGAAGAAGGAAATCGTCTCGATCAACTCTCTACGCCCACCTACGTATTTGTCGATCGAGATCATTCAGTTTATGTGTCTGATTGTTACAATCATCGTGTAATGAAATGGGAAGAAGGTTCAAAACAAGGCATTGTTGTAGCCGGTGGTCAAGGACAAGGAAATAGTCTTACACAATTAGATTGTCCTCAAGGAGTCGTTGTCGATCAATTGGGTACTGTCTATGTGACTGATTACAGTAATCATAGAATCATGCGTTGGCCAAAAGGAGCCACACAAGGAAGTGTCATCATTGGTGGAAACGGTGAAGGAGCACAGTCGAATCAACTCGATCAACCCGTAGGTTTATCATTTGATCGACATGGTAATCTCTATGTCGCCGAATATGGAAATCATCGAGTACAAAAATTTAATATCGAATGAACTCAATATGATGATGAATTTTATTTTTTTTTGTTCTCTTTCTCTTACAAATAAATCGTGATTGAATGAAAAAGTGAATTCATTGCTATTCTATTCTCTTCGCGCGCGCGCGACCAGGAACCATCCTGGTGGAGCCGTGGCGAGCAGTGTTTTTAATGAATGAGTGTACCCAGCAAAACAGCGTGTATGGAACCCTAATAAAAAAAAAATTTACACACTGTTTTACACGCTGTTGAAAAAAGTAGCGTGTACGCTCTACACGCTGAATTTTTTTTTTACACTTTGACTTTTCAAGTATTTCTGTGCTTGTGCTGTATGTACAAAAATATAATTTATATATTGAAAGCCATGAAGATCATGTATTTCTCATCCAATAGATTAATTTATAGAGGCGCTAGTGCATGTTACCTATCTGTGTCTATACAGCCTATTATATATATATTCTTTGTTTAACATAAAACATCAGACTGAAGCAACTATGAAATAAATTTTACAAAGTTTGAAAAAAATTTAACGATGGAAAACACAACATGAGAGATCTATCGACCGTTTAGTACCTTTAATTTTTTTTCTTATTTTTCTGATGATTTACAAATCTGAATTCTTTTTTTGTTTTTATAAATCGATATTTTTTTATTGAGATTTTCAGAAAAATTCACACAAGCTTCATAAAATGAACGATTTTGAAGAATCAAGGAATAACAATAAGCACTCACAATCTTTCTTACCAAATGTAGAAGACAATGAAATTATGTATATTGAATCTCATTCTCGTATTGAATCTCAGGTAAATGTGAAAGTATTGAATCAAAACAATACGATTAATACATTACCACGTCGATTGGATTCTTATCGTTCATCTACGGATAAAAGATCTTCTAGTCATCGGAAAAATTATTTATCGTCGTGGGAAAATGATCCAGCATCTTTCTACTCATTATATTCTTACGATACTCTTGGTATGAAACAAATAAAATATAGATGTTGGCTTTACAAAAAAATCAACGAAAACGATGGTAGTACTACATTAGGTTGTCGTTTATGTGAACAGTATCGTATGATAAAAAACAAGAACGGAAAAGAAAATACTTGGGCGACCAAAGGATTTAATGTATTAGCATTAGACAAAATTAAAGAACATCGTTTGAATGAAAAGCACAAAGAAGCAGAAGCATTGGAATTACAACGAACATCGATGAATCAACCTGACTGGATTTCAACAAGAACAACTGTTCTGTCCCGTCAGGAAGAATCCATTAAAAACTTAATGTATTCATGTATTTATTTATGTCAAAATGATCACTCATTAAATAGCTTCACACCGCTTTGTGATCTATTAGAAAAAGTCGGTGTTAAATTGTTACCAGCCGAAGTTAGTGGTGTTAGTTATCGAAACGATAACGCTGCGTTAATCTTTCTTCAACATATAGCAAGTGTTTTACATGAAGATCTTATTCGAAAGCTGAAAAATAGTCCTGTGTTAGGTATGTGTTAATTCTCAAATGCTTTACTTCCAATTTGAAAATGTTGTTTCATATTCTTATAGGCTTTATGATGGACGAATCAACTTCGAGATCAATTGAAAAAAATTGCATAGTATATGTGAGATATCTGGAAAATTTTGAACCACGTACATCATTTTATGGAATTATCAGTATGGAAGGCGATGGATCGGCTGAAAATATTGTAAAAAGAATAAGTGCACTATGGGAAAAAGACGGTTTACAATTATCCAGAACGTGTTGGCTGGCGACCGACAATGCAAGCACTTTTAAAGGTATGTATTTAATTGTACTTTTCCTAAATAATACTTTTGCCTTCAGGTAGTCATCATGGTGTGGCTGCGAAATTAAAAAAATATTATGATATGCCATGTTTGGAACTGAACACGTGTGTAGCCCACTCTTATGCTCTTGTTGGCAAACAAGCAGGACAATATTTAGACAGTGAGTAAATAAATTCGAAAATTTAAGAGTCAGCTGTACCTATTATGCTTCATTTTAGATGATGGAAAAGTGAAAATTCGGCTTTGTATTGCTAATTTCGAAGAATTGTTAGGTAAAATATACAACTACTTCAGTCGAAGCTCAAGCCGTCAATACAAGTTGAAGCAATGGTATGATTTTCTTACAATGCCTGAACTCAAATTCAAAAAGTTGTTCGATATAAGATGGTTATCAATACGTGATTGTTTAAAACCAATTATTAATAATATGAAACCAGGTAAAAAATCTTTTATTTCTCAACTGATTACAAATAAAGTTCTCTCAAAATTATGGTAGGAAATCAGGCACTTCTTGGTTTACTTGAACACACTTCTAGTGATTCAAACGTAACACGGAATGAACGTGATGCTGCAGCAAAGCTGCTGATGGAAATTTTAGATGATCGATTTTTATTTCTCCTTCATTTTCATTTCGATTTGCATGAATGCATTTCTGGTGAGTTGAAAATTGTTTTTTTCAATTTTTGTCTTTTGGATACTGACATCCATTTGTGTTTCTGAAGGTGAACTGACAAAAATTATGCAAAAAGATGATATATCGTACAAAATGTTAATGGATACAGTTTCAGACAAAAAGAAAATGCTAGTTTCGTGGACAAAAAAAGGATCGGATGAAATGTGTCCATGGGGACCGTCCCTAGCAGAGTATATTAGCTCGACTGAAACAGAAGATTCATTTGGTGCTTTCAAGATATTATCGAAAGGAAGTCGTGATGATTTAAAAAATGAATGTTGTTTCCATGTTGAACGTTTGCTTGAAGAAATCGATCGACGATTTCCACCATCTGAATTACATCAATGTTTATCTTTTTTGTTTGATCCTATGATGATTGAAGAAAATAGACCTTTTCTTAATGATGCTACATATGGTCGTCATGAACTACAATATCTTCGTCAAAAGTATGAAAGTTTACCTGAATTTGATTCGAAAAATGTTCAGATGGAATGGGAATCATTCAAACCATTAATTATTAATTTTATCGAGATTAAATCAAGTAATGATTCACCTGCAATATTCTGGAAAAAGTTTACTGAACTAAAACAAACAACAAATCAACATTTCTCTGAACAATTCAAGAATATTTTAATTTTGCTCGATGTTTATTTAATTTCACCTTTAAACTCCGCAGAATGTGAACGAGGTTATAGTGCAGCAAACCGAATACAGACTATAGCCCGTTCCAGAATAACAAATGAAACTCTTGATTGTCTCTTAACTGTACGGCTTCTTTTAGGTGATGATATTCGAAGGTAAGAGTAGTATTACATACGAATAAACTGAATGATCTGCTATTATTATATTCGAACTTTACTTTTAGTGCACGTTGTCATCGGATCATTGAAGAAGCATTCAAGTCTTGGAATGATCCTGAATCTAATCGTCGATTGAAGAGAGTACAATTACTAATTGATGTTCCTGATGATTATGAACCAGGTCGACAAATTCGATCCAATATTATGAAACGAAAGCGATTAGATTGTACAAACACTTATTCTTCAAGTTCAAACAGACCAAAGAAACCAAAAGCTAATTCTATCAAGTGCGCTAATCGATGTGGTAAAGTAGTTTCATCGGATGATCCAATGCAAATAAATGCTATCTTATGTTGTCATCAGCATGAAGAATACACCTGGATAGATGAAGAAGATTCCTGCTGTAGGTGGTTATGTAATTTTTGCCGAATTAAATTGGCTATTCCAACAGAAACAAAGGCTTGGTTTTGTGATGATCATCGTGATATGCACGAAGAAGCAGATGAAACTGTTGATGAAATGGATCATTTCAAAGATTGAACGAGTATTGTGATTTTTTTATGGGTAGATTCGGTTTAATTTGATATAAGATAATAATTTACACTTTGTAATTATTTTTATTGAGACGTGCCGTTGTTCATTGACTATATTATCAGTTAAGAAAATCGATAGATAAAAAAGAATAAAAAATTTAAAATGAAAATTACAAAAGCTTGTAATTCTTATTTTAAATTATATTTTTTATCTATCAATTTTTTTTAACTGATGATATTTTGAATGAACAATGGAATAACTCAAAAAAATGACCAAAATATCTCAAATTGAAGTAAACTTCGTTTAACTTTCATTTATGAGTACTGTACATAAAAATTTATTGTATAATTGAAAAGTATTCTTTGAACTCTATCTATTTATGTACTGTATCGTGTTGCTTTTTTTGTTTTATTTTTTTTAATATTTATGGATCTACAAGTGTGTATATATAGAATTTCATGAAAATATCAGTTGTTATTTTTCATTCAGTCAGAGTTTGTTTTTGTGATTTAAGCACATTTCATTTTCGTTTTTCTTTTTCAACTTATCTTGTCTTCATTAAAATGTGCAATGAAATACAGTTTGTCAAATAAAAATGTCTTTTGTGAACAGAAAAAAAGTTTCACTTTTCTTGTACATTTTGTACACTTTGCTACAAAAAACAAAGTGTACAGATACATGGTTTTCTAAAAAACATAGTGTACGATTACATTCTATTTCAGATTCTCATTAAAAATACTGACTCTAATAGCATTCAAAAAAATATTTTCAGTTTGTTTTTTATATTAAATCCTATTTTTCATTTATGTATAAATAATTCTATCAATATGCAATAAAATAAATTTATATTGTTTATTTATATAAATACATCTGACTTATTTCATGCGAAGATGGCTCTATTAACATTCAAAAAAAAATATTTTCATTTTATTTTTAATATTAAATCCTATTTTTCATTTATATATAAATAATTCTATCAACATGCAATAAAATAAATTCATATTCTTTTTATTCATATAAATACATCTGATTTATTTCATGCGAAGATGGCTCTATTAACATTCAAAAAAAAATATTTTCATTTTATTTTTAATATTAAATCCTATTTTACATTTATGTATAAATAATTCTATCAACATGCACTAGAATAAATTTATATTCTGTTTATTCATATAAATATATCTAATTTATTTCATACCAAGATAACTCTATTAACATTCAAAAAAATTATATTTTTATTTTATTTTTAATATTAAATCCTATTTTTCATTTATGTATAAATAATTCTATCAACATGCACTAAAATAAATTCATATTCTTTTTATTCATATAAATAGATCTGATTCATTTCATGCGAAGATGATTCTATTAATAGTCAATTAAATATTTTCATTTTATTCATTTCTTTAAAAAATTCTATTTTGTTTAATTCACTCAAAAAATTTTTCATGGAAGTATAGTACCTCAACAGCAAAAGTGTCGACAATCCTCTCTTCCTGATTACAATTTAAAAATGACTGCATGATACAATTGTTGCAAGCTTATGTAATGTCAAGACAAGGAAACAAAGAAAGAAAGACACAAGGGAACAAAGACATGAAGAAACAGAAAGAAAGAACAATGCTTATATCCAATGATATGAATGCATAGAAACACAAATACGATAAATGACTATTGGCTTGCGACATCTATTTAAATTTTTTTGTAGATAAAAAGAGTTGTTAAAAAATACTTAAATTATAATATTTGTCTCGTTTAAGATTTACTTTTTAGAAGTTATTTTTTCTCTAAAATTTTCATACTATGGGCTATTTAATTTCAGTCTGAATTTATCAAATAAAAATAATACT